GTGCAGAGCCAGGAGTAAACCCTGAGCACTGCTGAGAGTGGCCCCAAAATAAAACCAAACCAAAAAATTGCTTGGATTAATCTGCAGGGTATCATGATGAGTAAAGTCAATCAGAAGGAGAGGAACGACACCGAATGCTCCCTCTCGTATGTGTGATACAAAGAAGCACAGTAGGTGAGTAATAAAGGTCCAAATGTAACAGAAACTGAGAACTGGTCTTTGACAGGAAGCTCCCACAGGGGAGTAAAGTGGAAAGGAATAACGCGGTGGGGCCGGAACTGGGACAGTGGCAGAGGGAAGGGGATAATCTGGGGGATGCATAATACTCTATCGTTGTAAAATAGCATAATATTGTAAATCATGGGGTTTCAAATAAAATTTTCAAAGAAAAATATTGGAGGACTATAAACATTACATTACCACTGTTTATTGCGTTAGATATAAATAAAATTGAATACCGTAACAGCAGTCTCTACCCCCGCGCTTGGGTGTTCCTTCCCGGAGTCTCTTGGAGGGGAGCGGGTTGAGCTTTCCTCCCCGCCCCGACCAGGGCTACGGCAGCCGAAGACCTCCAGGACCAGCCACCACCATGCTGAGACCACTCTCTGCACACTTGAAGGTACTGGCAGAGGGACAAAGCCACGCGGGTTCCGGGGCCGAGACCTCCAAGCCTACTCGAATTGGAGTCGAGCATCTTCCACCCAGATCCTCCAAATTCCAGTAGGCGGGGGTCACACCCACCACCTGGCCCCCTGGCGCCGTGTAATCCCATCAGCGGCCAAGACTCAGAGACTATAAAATCCAGATCCCGGAACCGCGCGGCCGCATTTGCGGCCGCGCGACATCTTATTACCTCATTCCTACTTTGGACAAACTTGCAGGCTATCCGAATGTAGCCTGCCCACAGGGCAGAGTCTGGCAAACTCCCCGTGGCCTACCAAATATGCCAAATACCAGTAACAATGATGGGTCTCATTCTCCTAAAGAGCCGTGAATATAATCTCAGGGTTAGGATGAAAGAGACGTTACTGGGGCCTGCTCGAGGCAATCGACGATTAACAGGATGATGAAATGAAATGAAAAACCGTAACAGCATAAAACTTTTTTTCTCATACCCTTCCAGGCTGGAGAGATAACACAGCAGGTAGGGTGTTTGCCTTGCACGCAGCCGACCCGAGTCCAATTCCTCCGCCCCTCTCAGAGAGCCTGGCAAGCTACCGAGAGTATCCTGCCCCCATGGCAGAGCCTGGCAAGCTACCCGTGGCGTATTCGATATGCCAAAAACAGTAACAACAAGTCTCACAATGGAGACGTTACTGTTGCCCACTCAAGCAAATCGATGAACAACGGATGACAGTACTATAGTGCTACCCTTCCAGGGAACCTCCAATGTTTCACATGATGAAGAATTCTTAGAATTATATTTTCTCTGTAGTTATAATCTAAAATTTCCATTTCTCCTTTCCATTTCCCTTTTCATATCACACTAAATAATTCTTCCTTCTTGGTAGCTGGCCCCTCAAATATTTGTAGAGCAGTGTTGAAGAAAAGACTGCCTGTTCCTCAGAGTGGAGAAATGATTAAATAGCAATTCGTGCATGTGAAAGTTAGGACAGCTCTGCCAGGCGAGAAGGGGCCTGGAGAAAAGCATTGAGCCAAAGCTGGAGCGACAAGTGAACACTACCGCGAAACCAGTGCTGACTGAGGAATGATTATAAAGCCCTTGGCAGGGCCAACCATGGGTGCTGTATAAACAGCTGTTAAATATCATACCATACATTTTCTAAAAGTATTCACGTCTCCGTTTCTAAGACAAACTGTTTGTAACTAACAGACAGCCATCAGACTTTCCTCCTGTTGCTCTCAAAGTGATTTGTTCTTGAACCTGACATCCAGGTCGTTTTTGTATAAAATGAAAGATTAACTTGATATATTTGGAAGAAATGACATCTGCTTTCCTAGTTAGCCCTCCGTGTAAAATTTATTTCCCGGTGCCAAGGTGATGAGAGTTCTAAGCTGTGGCCACACTGACCAATTATCATTTAAAAAACAACAACAACAACAACAAAATAGCTATCGGATATAACAATGATAATAGTAAAATAGCAGTAGCAGTAGGGCAAACTATAACCCAGGAACTTTCTATGCTGTTTCACTTCATTTGCACCATGCCCATGGGATAAACATTACTGAAGTCTCCCAATGCTGCAGATCAGAAAATTCTGATCATAAAGATAGATAATTTCCCTATAAATAACATGACACACAGTCAAGATTCAATAACTGGAGTTTACAACACCAAATCCATGCTCTTTACTTATCATACACAGTAAAGTCTTAGCTAAATGTCTGAACTAGCTGAGTAAGTAAGCTGATATTTGCCTCTAGTATTTTGGATCAATACTCCAAAGATTGCTTGGGACTGGAGCAATAGTACAGTGGGCAGGGTGTTTGACTTTCACGTGGTCAACTGGAATATGATCCCCAGCCCCCATGTGGCTGCTGAGCACAGGCAGGAGTGATCCCTGAGTGCAGAGCCCGGAGTAATCCCTTAGCGCAGCTGGTGTGGCCCCCAAACCAGAAAACAGACAAAAAAGGACTGCTTTGTAAAATGCTCTATGATTGTGGAGTTATGTGGAGTTTGTGGAATTATACCACGAGGGTGTAGATCTCTGTAAATAGTAGGATTTGAAAAAAACACTTGGCCATGAAGGAATGTGAAAGTGGTTGTATTTTATTTAGAGACTTCATTTTTAGAATCGAGTAGATAGTTTTGTCACAGAGAGAGGACTCTTTTCTACCTAGAGGAAGAGAGGAGAACTCTGCTTCATGAATTATCACATCTCATCAGAAATTAAACTAGCCATTTCAGGTGCCTAACAGTTTGACTCATCTTAGAGAAAGTAATTTTCAGCAAGCTGGCCCGGGAAGGCAGGGAAACTTTCAGGCTCGAAACATCCACTTCCATCTGTTAGGTTCACTCTCCCTTCATTCCACTCCTGCTCCCATACTCTCTGATTCACACTGAAGGTTCTGGTAGAGTGGAGAAGGTAGTCGATCTCTTAAAGTGGGTTTCAATGGAAACAGCCCAATTATTTTTCTAGCAAAATGCCTTCAGCAAGGCCGATACGATATTTTGAACAGTGCAGAAGTCAGGTCCCCAGGACTGACAAATTGATTCCATGCAGATCCTATTTAAGTTGCATCAGTGAGACAATTTTTCTACAGTTGGTCCACAATTATAGGTAACTCTGGGACACTTAGGGAAACTGCCACCCATCCACATTGACTGTGGCTTGGAGAGTCCTTCACCTTGCCAAACCCCACTAATTTGAGGCCCATCCCAGAGAGGTTTTGGAGAAAGTCTTCTCTTGGAAAGAGAGGAATGCATTTCAGCAAGGACTAAGGGCAACTCATTCCTATTCCTTGACCTGTTAGTGGCAACATTTTAATGGATTCTAAGTACCTGGCAAAGGAGGGTAGCAACTGAATGAGCTCCTCTGAGTCAGAAGAGCCTGTCTTATGTCCAAAGCTCCTGAGTGCTGGTAGAGCCCAAAGAACAATCTATTTCCTACTTACTACCTTTTACAACTAGCCCTTGATTTTCATTAAAGTCAATTAGACAAGACATATTCCAAGAATGATAAATGAATTAAGGTGATAATAAAAAAAATTCTTGAAATCTTCCTGTCTGCTTTTGAAATTACGGCTATTTGCACTTAACCCCTCCTCACTATGGTAAAAAGTCCATGGACACAGAAAGTAATTTTTCCAAATCAGTTCCCTGGCAACCAAGAACCATATTAGAAATGCACTACGAACCTCAACTCTGCTGAGTAAACTGAGAGGCATGGGAGGAAAAAAGTTCATGCCCAAGAAATGAACAGAGATGAAGGTAATTAAGTCCACACATCTAAGTACAGAGTTGACCTGAGGAAGAATGAGAGTGGGCCATGAGAAAAAGACTAGGTTTCCTTGTTAGTATGTATGACGGTTGAAATTCAAGTTTGGGGTTCATTGGTGGGAATGACATTGACAGAATTAAATAGACCATAATGAACGAAGTTTAGCTGGCTTTTAGAGTAACGACTGCAATAATTAACCCCAAAACTAATAAGGCAACAACTTGCAATTGAGTCCTGCAATAAAGTTTTACGGTAGGAAAAGACTGAAATGAATGTGTGATTGAGACACACACACAAAGAAAGGTTATGGAAGATAAATCATACAGCCTAAGAGAGTGGGATAAGGAATGAAATTTAAAATTACATTACATGAGTGGATGATGATGACACGCCTTAAATACAGCTCCCTTTGTCCATATGTCATTTGCAAAATGACTTGAAGTCATGCGGGAACGTGAAAAGAACCCAGCAATTTCATTCTGCCAGCTCTGTGGCTGGGGCTGGAGCGAGTCACAGAAGCTAATTAGCAGTGCATAGCAATGTTTCACAGCTGTTTCAGTCTGGACAGGAAGAACAATTTATCTCACTGAAAGGCAGGGAAAATTTAAGGTGAAGGTAATTGCTCAAATTGGATTTTGAGCAAACACATACCACTAACATCTGCGGGTCTGAGTAAGGTCACTGAATTATCTTGGCGTTCTGAGCCGGTGGCATCTAAGGGGGCCCCCCCGTTTTCTACTTTCTCCACGCAGACTTGACAAGAAGCTAAGGGGAGAGCAAACGATGCCTGCGCGTGCAAGAAAGCTCCAACAAATGAAGAAAGAAAGTGCAGAAGTAGAGGTGCAATGCCGACAGAGGTGTGATCCATCTGTCGTGCGTTGCAGAAAAGCATCACACCTCCTGCGGCAGACCGCTGCACCGTGGCCCCCAGACGAGGCGAGATGGGGGGGAAAAAATCGTTGCTTTAGAGAGGAGCGATCGAGGCGGCGGGGAAGGCAAGGCAGGGAAGGGGAGCACCCGAGAGGGGAGGGCAGCTCCGCCGCCGGGACCTGGGGGGCGGGAGGGCCGCGCCGAAGCTGGGCCGCGCGCACCTACCCGCTCCGTCGGCGGGGACGATGGCTTCGGGGGAGATGCACACGCCGCGGTCGTACACGGGCAGCTCCTCGCAGGCCAGGCTCTCGGGCCACGCGTGGCGGTACTTGACGAGGACGGGCTCGCAGCCCCGCCGCGCGCGCTCGCACACCGACTTGCAGGGCTTGATGGGCTCGTGCTGGAAGTCGATGGTGCAGATGGGCGCGTACATGGCGCAGAGGAAGAAGAGCAGGTCGGGGCTGCAGTGGGTGCCCAGCAGGCCCTCGAACTGCTCCATGGCCAGGATGGCGTTGGCCTGCGTGCTGTGGTGCAGGTGGTTGGGCATCTTGGTCATGTTCCAGGGCAGGGACCTGCACAACGGGATGCGCACCGGCTCGCAGGCGGCGGCGCGGGCGGCGGGTGCGCCCAGCAGGCAGAGCGCGGCCAGCACCAGCGGCCCGGCGGGCGGCCACGGGGGCCCCCAGGGGCGGCCGCGCTGCACCAACGCCGCGGGACCCGCGGGGGGTCCGAGGCGGCCGCGCTCCATGCTCCCGGCTGGGCCCGCTGGGGGCGGCGGGGCGCGCGACGCCGTCTCGTCTCCTCCTCCTCCTCCTGCTCCTCCTCCTCCTCCTCCTCCTCCCCCGCCTGGACGGGCACGCGGCGGTCCGGGACCTTCTCTCAGGGCGACCTCACAGCGTCCTCGAGTCCGCTTCTGCCCACCGGGTCCCTGGAGCCTGCTGGAGCTCGGCCACCGCCCCGGCGGCTCCCGCGGCTCTTCCCCGACGTCTCCTCCTCGCGCCGCGGCGTCGGTTTATTCCCGGAGCCTCCTTGGGGACTTTCGCAGAAGGTCCGAGAAGGGGAAAACCAGAGGAAGCGAGAGGGAAAACCCGAATCGAGGCGGGATTCAGCGGACGCGGTTGCAGCTCCGGGGCGTCCCGTTGCAAAAAGGGTTGCAAAAAGGGTCCTCAAAGCTGCTGGAAAGTCTCCCGCAGTCCCGGGCAGGAGGCGGGCAGGGGGGAGGGGTAACGAGTGGGCGAGGAGCGTTGGCAACTGTAGCAAGGCGAGCCCGGAGGAGAGATGCGCGGCGTGAGCTGCGGCCAGAAACGCGGGCGGAGCCTCGACGGGGCCAGGGACGCCCCGGGAGGCCGCGAGGATGCGGTAACTCGAGCCGGCGCCGATTCTGGAAGCGCTTCTCCCCGCCCCCACGCGCTGCGCTGCACCGGCGGAGCGCCCCCCAGCACCTCGTTGCGGCGTCCACCCTGTCCCTCACCGAAAAGCCCCGTCCCCGGGAGCCTACCCCAGTCTTAATCCCTGCGCACTTTCTTACGCAAGTGCCCGCTTCACCTCAACAAGGTCCAGTTTTGCAGAAAATCCGACCTAAGGGGGGAACGATTTGCCCAATCTCATGTCTCTAGGCCCTTGGGAGCATCGGTGGGGCCTCCATCCACCCATAGCTTTCAGAGAACTGAGGTTGTATTTTAAAGAGCGATGGGGCGTGCTTTCGTTAAAAAAAAAAAAGTTAAAATAATATATATGCTGCGCATAATTATTACTACGACGCCAAAAGCTAGAAACATTTTGCTCCCTTCTTTCTTTCTTTCTTTCTTTCTTTCTTTCTTTCTTTCTTTCTTTCTTCCTTCCTTCCTTCCTTCCTTCCTTCCCCTGCAGAATTGAGAGCTGTTGAATTTTGCTTTTAAAACTTCAGTAAAAACTAACTTTAAGTACTTGAATTTCCCCCCCTGTTGTTACTCATTAAGATAAAATAACTTAAGAGAAATGTGTAGGGAAATAACACCATGTCAGGTAATAAAAAGGATGATAATGATGATGATGAAGACAATAAAACCCTTTCCATCCACAGGAACAATTTAGAGAAGAAAATAGAAAACAGATCGCCTCCTGGTCTGCACTATCCACTAATGAGCGACCTCTTTTCCTCCTTCCCACTCTCAACCCCTCCCTTTGAGGGCACATTGTAAATGGAATGACCTGGAGGGCCCTGCAACCTATCCTTTCAACGGAAATCAGGAGCAAAAGAATTACAGAATGTCTGGACACACTGCCTTCTTCCAGAAGTGAAGGAAACAAACCCTAGAACAAAACAGGAAGTCACCTTTGCTCTGCAACGCTAAAATATTTTTCTCTTCTAACCCAGCCATTTCTCACAGTCACTAAGCAGCAGAAAAAAAGATGCCCTCATTTGGGATGCAGGTCTTGTTCTCCAGCTTTGACATGAACCACCTCAGTGCTAACTTGAGTATATGAAATTTTTCTCTCCAAAATGACCCTAAATTGTTACATCAACTTGTGACCGTTGTAAACTTTTCAGAAGGAGGGGCAAAAACCAACCTCATGGTAGATCAGGAGTTAATGCATAAACTGTGCTGGTCTATGATTTTCAGAAAAATCTATGTCTATGGTCTATGTTTCAGAAAACAGAGCACCAAATTGTAAAGTTGAAATAAATTTAAAATGATTTCACATGTAAAACTGGGGAAGGGCAATTGAAAACCATTAGAACATATGGGACTGTTATGTAAAAATATGTAGCTGAGATTTTCAATACATTGGAAGTGAGAAGTATATTGTTGATGTTCATGGTATATTATATAGCATAAGAAGAAATTAGATCATTGTTTTCTTGTTCTGTCTGTTTTGGGCCATATCTGGTGGTATATGGGGCTTAATCCTGTGCTCAGAGCTTACTTCAGGTTCTGTGCTCACTTATAGCTCCAGCATCACTCCTGGCTTGCTTCAAGGAATCTACATGAGGTGCCAGGGATTAAACCTAGGTGAGCCATCTATAAGGCAAGCCCTATTTGCCATACAATCTCTCAGGCCCTGAGAGACCCATTTTAATGGGTATTTCAATGATAAAAATACAAAAGTGGTCTTCTGGGGTTTTACACAAAAGTCAATTATTCTCTTTGACTTACTCATTCCCTCACAATTTTAATCTAAAATTGCCTTTGTCAAAAAGCAAAGTTATATAGAGCCCCAGAAATTTTAAAGTGCTCTGCCTGGTTCTGTACCTTTTTCTTATTTTCCCTAAAAAGTGTTATTTCTGCAAATTCTTAGTATACATTTATAAATTTTTAAATATCCATTACTTCATCTGGGTGTACTTTTCCTCACAAAATAGCATGTGTGATTTTTTTAGGAGTCCATTTATTTCTCTTGAAATAGGCATTGAATCTGGAGTACAATATTTTAAATGCTAAAATGTATTTTTTAAAGAGAAGTATGATTCACATTGAATAGTGATATCCAAGTTTGGAAAATAGTCTATGTGATCATGACTATTATCTAACAACTTAGATATGACATATAGTTTCCATGAACAAACAGGTAAGCTGAACCTGCTAAAAATGAGTATCTGTAAGCCCAGTCCACAATAAGAGAAATTTGAGAGAACCTTACACCTCCTACGAGAAATGAGTCGTAGTAATTTGTTTTTCTAATGTTCTGTTTTACTTGATTTTATTTTACTGACAGAATTCTGATCTTTGGCTAAAACTGCAACTGAGCAATATAAAAGACGGTCAATTGCTTTAGAAATTGCCTCAAAGCTGTTGAAAAAAATCTCTTACATTTTGAGACTTGGCAGGCCACAGACCAGGAACTGGAGAATTAGTGTTCTTAAATAACATTTTGATGGAGATAGTAATACTGATAATTTAGAAATCATGTTTTGAAAATAAGGATACAAATCAAAGAGGTTTGGGTGTGTTGTTTGCAGTGGAGTTTATATTTGAGAAAGTCTTCAAGGTAGCAAAGGTAAATTATTAATGTGCAGATGGTCTGCTGGAAAAAATGGGGACCAGGTACCAGGACCTCAAAGGCTTCATAAGGCACAGACAGTGGACCTGGCACCGTGGAGGGGGGGCATTTCAGGGTACCCACATTTTGCACCTGACTCTCTCAGAGCTGCAAAACAGTCCTCTATGCCCTTCCTGGAACCCTGGAGCTTCTTTTGAATTGTGGGTCAATTCCAAGCTCAACTGCACCTTGAAAAGTGCAGAGAAAGCCAGTCATGGCCCAACAGCTTGTTAGAATTCATCATGCCAACAATGTGATCATTGGCCTTTATTTAACTTCCTCACAAACATTCCTGTGATGGTGTCAGAAGAGATCATTGCATAATAGTCTTAAATTTGATTGATAGCCCCAAATGTGACACATCTTGTTTTGTCAATAATTTAAATATTAACATTATTTTCCATATTCTTAAGTATACTTTCCACTTACCTGCATTTGTATATGTAAGACTTGCACTTCTGTTCTATGAGAAAATGTGATTTTACTACTAAGCAGAACTTGTCTGTGAAATAATTAACAACTAGAGCAGCCCAGATCACCATTCAGCATGACTTTAGCCAGCCCCAGTCTGTCCTAGGGCACCACAACGCAATGGAACCAGTTTTTATTGAATACCTGCTACAGGTCACACACATAAACCTCATGGTGAGTTCCAGGAAATATTCATTCCAAAGATGCAAAATCTGAGGCTCAGAAGAATGCAATAACTTTCCCACCACTTGATACTGGACAGCCAGAAGTGGAATCTGAACCCTTGTTATTTTAGCAACACCAGAACTCATGCTTCTTCGTGGGGAGAAGTGGCTGAGAACGGGAAAGACCTGGATTTTCTGTGAGCAGGGGCCTCCGGCTAAAGCCCGCTCCTGCTGTCAGGAACTGGCTCTGCTTGCATGTGAAGTTTGTGAGTCCCGGTGCCCTGAATGGTGAGCCTTACTAGGACTAACTCTTCTGTGGACCTAGTGACTGCCCAAGGTACACTTGTAGAAGATGATGCCTTTCTAGTGTCCAAGAAATTCAAAAATGCTGCCCACTTGTTAACTGCATCAACATTGAGAGCAGAATTCTCTCTGTGGTGTTTGGTTGAATCTGCTGTGGGGCTTCTGAAAATACACATTGCTGGACCCCAGGATTTCTGTTATAGCAACTCTGGCCAAGGACCTGAGAATTTGTGTTTTGAATTTTCTAGGTGAGGTAGATACTCCACTGCAGAGACAAGGCCTTAAGAAACACTATTTTGATCTAGATATTAAAATCTGGTTTGCATTAGTAAACCCTTTTCATGCTATAAAGATTTCATTTGCTGTCTTTTTTGTTTGTTTTGTTTTTGTTTTATTAGTGAAACACCATGAGGTACAGTTGTAGACTTACAAGTTGTTGTGCTTGGGTTTCAGTTATACAATGATCGAGTACCCATCCCACCACCAGTGCCCACTTTCCACCACCCCCCCCATCCCCCATCCCACCCTGCCTCTGTGGCAGGGCACTCCCTTTTGTTCTCTCTCTCCTTTTGGGTGCTGTGGTTTGCAGAAGAGGCATTGGGTGGCACTCATGTTCGGTCTATAGTCTACTTTCAGCATGCATCTCCCATCCTGGGCAGATCTTCCCAGCACCCTTTATTTGGTGCTCCCTTCTCTATCTGAGCTGCCTTTACCCCTAGAATATGTGGCTGGCCTCGAAGCCATGGAGTAGAAAGTTGCATTCATCTGGGTAACATAAAGTAACAAAATAAGAGACTAACACCCAAGAACAGCTGTAATAAATACCAGGTTG